CGAGGCAAATGTTGGGACAAAAAAAAAGAGGCAAACGAAAGTATCTAGAGAATGCAGAAGAGTGTGAGAACAGGAACTGGGAGGAGGGTGAGGTTGCAAGAATTTTTCAGAATCTATCAGTTATAATGGAAAAAAAAAAGCCATTTAAATTCCATTACAGTTCAAAACCCATAATTTACTACAACTGGTCAAATATACACAATAAACTTGGGCTATTAACTTGGGCTATTAAACTTGGGCTATTAAGGTACTTAACTCATAATTACAATAGAATTTTAACAAAAAGAGATTGGAAGAAAAAAAAAAGAATGATATAAAAGAAAGGGAGGAAACATCCTAGAAACTGGGAAGAAATGTTTCGATCCATGAAGTCGTATACATTTCTTACTACAGCCACAACTGGACCCTCTCTGTAGGATGGTTGTGGCAGGATTCGAAGGTGTTCTAAAAGTAGTATTCTGAGCACTGATACTCTACTTCACATCATTTATAGTGTCATGCTTTAGGGCACTATCTTGATACTTGTATTAATAACACATACCCAATAGTTTCAGGCTCTGTAGAGATCTACACAGTATAGATGACCCTTGAATAGTCCTCACAGCACCACTTTTTCTTTGCTCGTTGTAAAAGTATCACAATAGGCAATTTCAGAAGTTCAATTTACAACGAAATTTGTGGAAAATTTTGCTGCTGGGAGGGGGGAATGAGAAGAAAAAATCCGAAATGCAAAAAAAAGTAGGGAAGCTAGCAAAATTATCTTACGGTGTAGCGTGCAGGGAGTAGTCATTGGTGATCGTTTCGATGCCTCCTTGACGGGCCACCGCTATGAAACTGCTTACATTACCGAAATCGAAGCCTACCACCGACATTGTTGAAGATTGCCAAGCGCGTAAACTGCAAAATAAATTCACAGAATTACGCCAAAAAAAACCCTCGCCGGTGAGGGTTTTGAAACGCATGACGATGTTTTGCGCTCGTCGGAGAAGCACTACGTGTCGTGCTTCATCGCAGATTGCTTCTGTTCCGGTGCAAATAAAAACAGTCATCAAGTGGCTAATACACGGAATTCCCGGTATTTCCCAGTGCAATTTCTTTTAGTTTTTTTACTGTACTTGTACTCGTTTCTGTCACTGGCTAGCGACACTGATTTCCCGGTGTACCCCAGTGAAATTCCCCTCGATTTTTCGCTGTACCTGCGTCTGTTTTCTGTCGTTAATAGCAGCAAGCATGGCCGTTTTCCGGGCAGTTCACGCCAACTGCGACAATTCACGAAACAGCAGCAGGAGCTGCTGCTGCAAAAGGTAAGTGGGCACCGATGCAATGGGCAAAAGCACAGACACAGAAGAGCAATGGTGTGATTTTGCAGCACTGCACAAATCGAAAACAGCTGGAATACAAGTGCAACACACACACACACACATACTCAAACAACAGGATGAGTCATCCTTAGATGGAAAACTTACCGTGTAATTGGGCCAAAATCAGCTGCGCCCTTTGCCGAAGCCACAACGGGCATCGAAATCCGTTACTACTTCAGGGGAAGGGCGTCATCACTTCGATTCAGGCGTAAATTATGGGCATAAAACCCCTTATTCATATATGGCAGTAAGCAAACCAGACAAACAGCAGCAGAAGCAGGAGCTAGCCCCGGACTTTCGCCAAAAGGGACATTAAAATCCGTTACTACTTCAGGGGAAGGGATCATTACTTCGATTTGGGTGTAAATCACGGGCATAAAAGGCAAAAGAACCCCCGTCCAGTAAGCAAACCAGACAACAGAAGCAGAAGCTACCCCTGGACTTTCGTTCATAACAGACATTTTTTGTAAGAATTGCAACTAATCCTAATAATTCAGCTGACTCTAATACTCGGTATTCCCGGATTTATGGCTTAAATACGTCCTAACTTGTCCATATATGGCAGTAAGCAAACCAGACAAACAGCAGCAGAAGCAGAAACTACCCCCCAGACTTTCGTTCATAACAGAAATTTTTTGCAAGAATTGCAACTAACTCTAATAATTCAGCTGACTCTAATCCTTGGCATTCCGAATTTATTGCTTCAATACGTCATGCACATCATAACTAGCTCACTTTCCTTATCGGTTTGGCCAGAAAAAAAAAAAGCCATAGCATACACGCTCAAAGTGCCTGTAATAATTTGAAAAATGCTGTACCATTCCCTTGCTCTCTCCCCCTCTCACCTATTGGCTGCTGTTTGTTTTCCGGCTAATTTCTTTATTTGTTCATTCACAGTGACAGAGGGATGAAACACAGACTGCAGACAGACTTATTCTCTCCCCGAACATTTGCAAGTCCGATTATTCCTATCGGTCTTATGTTGTTACATAACACATAAGGTATCGACCCTTCCACGGTCTTCTCGCTATTTACAGTGCTTGTAGGTCCCCTTCATGCGATGTGCCAGCAGTAAACCGCGTACAACTCCCCAAAAGAGGATATTCCGACTCCCCAAAAGAGGATATTCCGCCGGGCACCTACGAAAGGCCAGCGAGAGCAAGGGGGCAGAATCTGATTATTTATGCTTCGCCGAACATACGGCTCTGAAGGGCTGATATAATGCTCGTGGAATGAACGAGTGACGCTGAGGGAACAAAACAGTGCACCAGGACTGGTAACAATGCTTCAACTGGTACTTCCCGCGCCAATAGCGCCTTTTATGCATAAAGAAACCAAAAATGTAGGAAAAATAAACTGAAAAATTTGAAAAAACTGTGTAAATTTTACTTAAATGTAAAAATGAAGAAATTACGCTAATCACACTCAGAAAAGAAATTCAAACGAAAACTTATTAGTGTTTCATTAGGGGAGAAATTAAGACTATATACAAACAAAAGGAAACCAAAAAATCCGAAAAAAAAGTTCTTCAAAAGAAACCAAACAATCTGAAACCAAAAAATCTGAAAAACACACACCTGGCACCGCTCGAAAGCGCATTACGCAGCACGCCAGCGATGAGTGACTAGCAAGGCTGTCGATGGCTTCCTTTTCCGGGGGGCAACTACCAAAACTTGGCTGAGCTCGGCCAAGCACTTTTTTTTTGGGTTTTTTTTGGCTCAGGTTCGAGCTGCAAGAATAGCAATAGCAAGTTTTTTTGTTCAGATAATGTTCTAGGCATCAAGTTTCATACTAAGCAAATGGAAAAACTTATATGGGCCCACCACCCTCCTCTCCCTCCCCTCAGAGACCCCGTCCTTGTTCCCAATTCCTACTTCCAAGCAAGGTCTCTGCTCTTTTTTTAGTCAAAAACCCCGCTTCTCCAGCTGATGTAATTGCTCTCCTAAACTGGCCGAGCTCAGCCCGAATTTCATTAACTGCCCACATTCAAAGGCTGTTTGTGCAAGCCATCTACTGGCAGGTTTGACTCCTTGACAAGTGTCAGCACCAATTTACCATCAAAGCAAATGAATATGTCACAGACATATGCGAATCCAGTCCAGCACTACAGGCACCAGTGCTGCAAAAGTCCGGGTCTGCTCATAACTCCAAACAGAAGTAACTGTAAGCAGCAGTGTGTTACAACTTTATTCCTAGTTTTTGCATAGTTCCACGGTGGGACCTGCCCCTCTCCAGCGCCGTCGCCCACCCCAG